CCATGCTTTTAGATATGGGGACTTCAAATCCCAGAATTCCCCAGCCAGCAAGCAAGATGCCTGGGGAATTCTAGGAGTTGGAAGTCCACACATCTTAATGTTGCTGAGTTTGAGAAACGCTGGTCTAATGAATAGGAACTGGAGCGAAACATAGTCCCTATTTTTTTTTCCCCTTACATGAAATATATAAAATGATGAATCTGAGTATTACTCGGGCCATCTTTTTAATAAGCTTTTCCACCTCCTTTTGCCTGACCAGGTTTCCCTGGACTTTCCTGTTGCATTCTTCAGCGTTGCCAATATAGGCTCGGAGGAATGCTTCCAGCTTAATCTTGGCAAAATTATGCTCCTTTGCCCTCTGCTCAGTCAAGTAAACAGGGTGCTGCAAGAAAATTAAAAAACAAACAAATGTATTACAGTATATACAGACAAATTATCTATCTATCTATCTATCTATCTATCTATCTATCATCCGTCTTTCTTTCTTTCTTTCTTTCTTTCTTTCTTTCTTTCTTTCTTTCTTTCTTCTTTCTTTCTTTCTTTCTTTCTTTCTTTCTTTCTTTCTTTCTTTCTTCTACCTACCTAATTTTAATCATATGACAATGGGGATATACAGTGTTTGAAAGTGCAAGGAATGGATATATGCCCCTTTTTTCAGTGTCACTGTAACTGGTCTTTAACAAATGGTTGTAAGTTAAGGATTACTTGTATTATTATTTTAAAAAATACCTGAATGTTGCTTATTTGGGAAATTAAGAAAGTCTTTAAGAAAGTTAGCCTATAAGTAAGAGGCAGGCCCTTCCCTCGCAATATCGCAACTCATGTTTTGTCCTTTTGAGAAAAGCCTCTAGATCTGGCCCCTATCCTGGACAGTTTTTAACTTTCCTCATTAAAATGCTGCTTTTCAGCCAAAGAAATATTGACGCTTAAGAACAGAGTATTCAAAAGCAATGAAGTCACACACACACACACACAAAACAATAGCTAAATCTGATTTTAAAAAGATCAGTTGCACAATGTGTGGAGATACACCTCCAAAGGAAACACACCCAAATTCTACAAGATGGATAGGAAGGCTTACCAAACAGAAGTTTTCAGACTCATCCCAGGAGGGGCCTGACAACTGGAAGGAGTTTTCCTTTCTCTGCACCTCAATGTAATACTTTCTAAGGGAAGAAAAGCGTGTTTTTCAATGGATCGTTTTGGCCATTGCCCAGCGCCAATATTAAAATCTCATGCCCGGAAAGTGTTTGCCTGCTCAGATTGGTGCCCAAAACGTAATTGTGATTACAGCGTGGCTGTATCTATTTGCAGGCAAAGAAGGAACTAGGGGCTTAATTGAGTTTGCCTTTATTTATTAAATGTATATGCCACCCAATTCCCAGCAACTAGAGTTCTGTCTGTCTGCCTATCCATCTATCCATCCATCTGTCCATCTGCCTATCTATCTATCTGTCTGTCCGTCCATCTATTATCCATATATCCTCTATCCATCTATTGTCCATCTGTCTATCTGTCCATCTGTCTATCATCCATCCGTCTACCTGTTTACCCTAGATCTATCTGGGTCTGTCTGTCTAATTAATCTGTCTATCTATCTATCTATCTATCTATCTATCTATCTATCTATCTATCTATCATCCATCCATCTCTTTATCGTATGGCAATAATGTTAAAAAGCACATCACAATTACATTCTCAATTATTCAAATACGAAACTATGTACAGTATTCACAAATTCAAAAAAAGACTACTTATTTAAAAACATGTGAAAACAATGGGAAAATGGCAAAAAAAAGAAAGAAACCAGGATGGGAACAAAGAAAAAAAAAGACATTTATTTCAAGAAGAGATTGGACTGCCATTTGTCAGAAATGGTGTAGGGTCGGGGTTGGACTACATGACCTATAAGGTCCCTTCCAACTCTGATTATCTGCTATCTGTTATATCAACCCAGCCATCCACCCAGAGGATGGAATGGAAAGCACTCTGCACATTCTCAGGAACCCGCATACCCCTATCCTGCTTCCCAGGGATTTCTCCTCTCCACCCCCGCTCCCCCCGCCCCGACCAGCTCGGCCCAGCCCTTACAGCCGATGAGCCACCGAGCGGGCCAGTCTTCGCTCCGACCCCAAGCCGCCCAGCAGCCCCGCCGCCATCGATGCGGCCCGGTCCAAACGAGGCAAGTCTCCACACAACCGGCCCGGATCGCGTTCTCTGGTTTCCTTGGCAACCCCCGAAGGAAGTGCCTCTCGGCGAATTGATGGCAGTTTTCTCCAATCAGGGAAAGAAAATCATCCTCGGGGGGAGGTCCCTAATGAAGTCATAGAGACTTTAAAATAGAGCGGCACACTTCGTTTGTGAGAGAGTCGAACGAGCTTCTCGCCCACAGCCGTCTCAAAGTATTAGTTCTGGATTAAGGATCTTTTACGTCAACAGGGCGCCACAACAGGGCTGTGGTTGCAGGATCTTCGTTACGTCATCAATCTACGCCAGGCAGCATGGCGAAGGCCGCAGCGGGCAGTGGCCTTCTGCTGATCCGTGAGCAGTACCTGCTCGGCGCCCTCAGGGAAGGTAGAGCGTTTGGCGGGATAGCTCCTTCTTCTCTCGGGATTCCCACGTGATCCTCCCAACCCTGCCCTTAGAACCCTCACTCGGATGCCTCCTTTGCCCTCCCTGGATTAATTTATCCGTCCAGCGCTCTTACTACGATTCCCAGAATTCCCGGCAGGCAGCCATCTTGGAAAGGGACTTTGGTGCGGCCCGCTGGAGGAGGTGGCTTGGATGGGAGGCTCAGCAGGTGGCTAAGGAAGTGCCAGTATTGAGTTCACCCTGCACTCTCCTATTGCTACTATTACTGTTCCTCCTCCTAATAGTAATACTACTACTATTAGAATAGCCCCTACTGTATTTTTTAAAATGGTTATGGTGGTTTCATGGGTTTACCTATGGCTTTTTTAATTGGATTGCTATCTTTAGCCACTTAGATGAGATAAGCCACCCTACCAAAGGAATCAATAACTGAATAAATGTTCCACCTCTTCTATTTTTCTCCTTGCAATAACCCTGTTAAGTAGGACGGACAGAGTGGCCTTAAGTATATCCAAATCCAACACCGTGCATTGCCAGACTGCATGGTGTTTGGATACGAAAACCCTAGTATGAATGGTTCACGTTCCATAAGGAAGTCAAGATGACAGCCGCTAGCGTTCAATGAAAGCTTCGCTCCCTTTTTATATGCATCATGATTTTAGTCGTAGGCATCATCTTGATTTTCTTTGAGTCCCTCCGTAGAACCATGGTTAGTTGAATCCAGGGTTTGCAAAGTTTTCCTATTTAATTATGATACCAGCCCTGCACAGTTGGATAGACTGAGAGAGCAACTAATTCATCTGACTTCTGATTGAGACTTCCTACCAGTTATTCAAGCATCTCGATTATGTAATTATTTAACCTCAACTGAGGTTTTTGAGCTTGGACAACCATTTGTACCGAATACTATAGGACTTCTTGCTCGAATGTTGACCTTGATTGGACTAGTAGACTTTTAAGGTCCCTTCCAACTTTGTTATTCTGTTAATATTGGTTCACTTAGGCCTTAATTGAAAATCACAAGCTGAAAGGGGAAATGTTGATTTTTTTTTTAACGCTAATGAATTAGTTACATGCTTAGAAAGCTCTGAAAAAGTTCAAGTAATGGCTGCACTCTTCTTTGACAGTAAATCAATGATTGTCTGCTTGACAGGTGCAAAAGGGAGATGGGGCTTGCAATTCCTACGCTCCCCTTACAGATTTTGTAGTACAGGAATAATTTTGGATGACATCAACAAGCCGGTTATTGACCGAATAATCAGAGTGGATCACGCAGGCGAATATGGAGCAAATCGCATTTACGCAGGTCAGATGGCTGTCTTAGGCAGAAGTTCAGTAGGACCAGTCATTCGCGTAAGTATTTTTACTCCACTGGTTTCATTGTCCTTGTTTTGATTCTTTTTCTATACCTTAAGTTCAACTGGTAGCCAAAGTATTTTTTTTTTTACAATCACTTTATACCAAGAGTGTTGAACACAAGTCATCACACTGTCACGTGACGTATCAGGACTTCCCCCCTCTGGCTAAACCAGGTGTGATCACGTGACACATCTGGCCTGCAGGCCATGAGTTTGATATTCATAATGATTTCTGGAGTAAATCATTGTTGGCTGGAGTCCTATGTTGTTTTAACCTTAACAATGGTTGTCTTTGACTTACAGCCATTTGTTCAAAATTACAAGGGCCTGTGGGGGAGGGGGAAGCTATTTGCAACCTGTCATAGAATAGAATAGAATAGAATAGAATAGAATAGAATAGAATAGAATAGAATAGAATAGAATAGAATAATTTATTGGCCAAGTGTGATTAGACACACAAGGAATTTATCTTGGTGCAAATAGCAATAGCACTTAGACTTATATAACACTTTATAGTGCTTTACAGCCCTCTCTAAACAGTTTACAGAGTCAGCCTCTTGCCTCCAACAATTTGGGTCCTCAATTTTACCCACCTCAGAAGGATGGAAGGCTGAGTCAACCTTGAGCCTGGTGGGATTTGAACTGTCAAATTGTAGGCAGCTGGCTGCAGAAGTAGCTTGCACTACTGCACTCTAACCACTGCACCACAGAGGCTCTCAGTGTTCATAAAAGAAAAGATACATTCATCAAGAGTCAAGAATCATCAGGTACAACACTTAATGATAATCATAGGATACAATAAGTAATCAAACCATACTAGGAAACAGTCAATAAAAATCTTAAGGATACAAGCGACAAAGTTACAGTCATACAGTCACAAGTGGGAGAGGATGGGTGATCAGAAACGATGAGAAGATTAATAGTAATAGTAGTGCAGACTTTGTCAATAGTTGGACAGTGTTGATGGAATTATTTGTTTAGCAGAGTGGTGGCGTTTAGGGAAAAACTGTCCTTGTGTCTAGTTGTTCTGATGTGCAGTGCTCTATAGCGTCATTTTGAGGGAAGGAGTTGAAACAGTTTCTGTCCTGGATGTGAGGGGTCTGTAGATATTTTCACAGCCCTCTTTTTGACTCCTGCAGTATGCAGGTCCTCCATGGAAGGCAGGTTGGTAGTAATTGTTTTTTCTGTAGTCCTAATTATTCTCTGAAGTCTGTGTCTGTCTTGTTGGGTTGCAGAACTAAACCAGACACTCATTGGGCAGTTTGAGCTTTCTGCATTGGCACATTCATTGTTGTGCTTTTAAATACTCTTTATGACATCCTGCGATCATGTGACAGAAATTCAAATGTTTTGCAACCAGCTCGCGTTTACCACTCTTTGCAGCATCCTGAAGTCACTTGATCACAGTTTGAGACCTTCCCACCTTTCCGACAAAAGAATCAGCCGGGGAAACTGGATTCCCTTAAAAACCACGTGATTTCCATAAACAATTGCAGTGATTTTGCCTAACAACCACAGTAAAATAGTCATAAAAATTGCTCATGGTCACAGGGTGATTCACCGTATGATTGTCCTGATTTATGAGAGAAATTCAAGTTCCCATCAGTGATCATAAGTCAAGGACACTCTGTATGATTAGATTAGTTCTGGCATGGACTGTTGCCTGCTTCTAACCACTGTTTATTGAAATAGAGCAGTGCATGAATTCGGCTCATACGGGCTTTGTGGTGGTTCAGCAGCATTAAGAGGCTGCAGTGTGTACGTCCAGACGGAGACAGCATACAGACTTCTGAACTATCTTTGTGTTTTTGTTTTAATCCAGCAAATGTGGGAACAAGAAAAGGACCATTTGAAAAAAATGAAGGACTTGGTGGTTTTGTACAGAGTCCGTCCAACCATTTTGTTACCTCTGTGGGATGTTGCAGGTTATATGTTAGGTGAGCATTGTTGTTTCTCTTTTCCTAATATATGTATGTATGTATGTATGTATGTATGGCATTCGGCTTTGTTTGGGTATTTTCCCACGTCATAGTAGTTGTGCTTTTAAAGTTGTAGCGACGTTTCAGCAGAATCTCATCTGCCATCCTCAGGCTTCTGTATATATATGATATGTCTCCTCCCAAGCGCAGCTGTGATTTTGATGTTTTACCTTTAGGTGCTGGCACAGCTTTGCTTGGGAAAAAGGCAGCCATGGCCTGCACAGTGGCTGTGGAAGAAAGCATCGCTAGCCATTACAACAACCAGATCAGGGTCCTCGTAGAAGAAGACCCTGAGAAATACAAGGAGTTATTACAGGTATCATTATGCTAAAAAGTTACAGATATAATCTACCTTACGATACTGTTTTGGTTTAATTTAGAGCAGTTTTTTTTTCAAACTTGGCAGCTTCAAGCCCATAGCATGGTATTTGGGGAATTTTGGAAGTCCTCACACACCTTAAAAGTTCCTCAGTACGACTGAGGAATTCTGGGTATTGAAGTCCATACCCCTTAAAAAGTTTCTCAGTATGACTGAGGCATTATGGGAGTTGAAGTCCACACACCTTAAAGGGTCCTCAGTACAACTGGGGAATTATGGGGATTGAAGTCCACACCCCTTAAAAATTTCTCAATACGACTGGGGAATTATGGGAGTTGAAGCAGGTAGATGGGTGGATGGATGGATGGATTTGAGAAAGAATCTGACGGGCCAAACTTTCATAAGTTCAGCATTTACCAACATTTCACTATTGAATGAAATTTCTTAAATTTCCAGTGGAAGCAAAAGATATTCTTAACTATGTGTGGTATAAAACCTTATTGATCACTTCTGTAGCTAGAGTGCCAGCTTGCCAGTCCTCCAAAATAATGGTTGAAAGTCTGTTTTAAGAACTGATGACAAGTCCTGGTTTGGGGTCAGAGAGGGAGGCAGGAGCTGAAAACGGGCACTTGAAGAGGAGCCATATGCTCCTCTGATATTGTAGATTTTCATTTAAAGTGTATCCCCAAAATGTTGACATTTCTGGCATTTTTAAAAACGGTTTAACGTATGTTTTCTTTTCTCCCTTGACTTGCTTCTGGGATACAACTCCCACCCACCAGATCATCAAGAAATTTCGCGATGAAGAAATGCAGCATCACGACACTGGACTTGACTACGATGCTGAACTGGTAAGTTGGCAACAAACCTCCTCAGAATTTGCTTACTCAAAAGCACCCATGTGCTGGCTCAGGAATTCTGGGAGTTGAAGTCCAGTAGACCTGGTTTTATCCACCTGTGCTTGATATGTCTGTCAGGACATACTGAGAAGGGACGCGAGTTGCAAGAATTACAGCAACTGGGCCTTTTCCCACATGCAACCCTAGATCTCAAAGCATCTAAGGGTGCTTTGAATTTTCATCATGTTCGTTTTTGCTGCCTTTTCTGGAAACCCAGAAGCTGGTAGGTCTCTTCCCTGGGAACAGAGGAGCCTTCAAGGGAACTGTTTACAAAACCATCTCATGAATCCTTGTAGAATTGGAGCCATTAAGGCAGAGTTTCTTAAAATAGCATTTAACAAAATAAAAAGAGTTGGACCTTGGCGGTCTAGTCCAACCCTCTGTCCAAGCAGGAAATCCTATAACTTTCTGGACAAGATGGCTGTCGAATCTCTTCTTAAAAACCCCCAGTGATGTAGCACCCCACAACCTTTGGAGACAAGCCAGTCCACCGGTTGATTGTTCTCAGGAAATATCTCCTGAGTTTAAGCTGGATCTCTCTTTAGCGATCTTCCACCCACTCCTTGTCCTGCCCTGAGATGCTTTGGAAAATAAGCGCATCTGTTCTCCTTTGCCCTGAATAACCGGAATAGCAAAAGCAGTTTTAGTCTTGAGTTGTTGCTGGTAGCCGTTTTTTGAAGATAACGGAAAATATAAAACAGTTCTAATATTCAATGTTCTTTCTTTTTTTTCTTGCATAGACTCCGGGATATTCCATTTTGAAGAATGCTATACAAGTTGGTTGTAAAGCAGCAATATTTTTATCAGAAAGAATCTAGATTTGGCAGTGGTAGATTTATCGTAAATTAAGAGATGTTCAAGTAGAACAAAACCTTATACCTTATTGGAAAGTCTACATAGATGGGAATTCTTTTGTTTTCTTCATTGTTCCTGTCAGTTGGGGAAAAACGATGGTTACCATTTCGACTGTCTGAAATTGTTGGAAACTTGCTGGATAGGTTACACAACTGTTTTTCATATGCTTTCCACCTGAAAATGACCGTGTTTTGCTGCCATTTTTGGGGGGCCAATTGCAACATCTTTTTTCAACGAAAGGGATTCCATATAGAATAGCCATTTTGCCTTCCTTCCCAAGATACATTAACTTATTATTAAAGTTTGTACTGAAAAGCAAGTTCACACTGCTTAAAAACCAATTGTGTTTTCTAATGGAAGATTCAGGAGTAGATGCTTGTGGAAATAAATGGTGCTTCATTCCAAAGCTTTTAAGCATTATTTTTAAGCTTTTAAAAATTTTTTATTTAATAATAATAGTAGTAGTAATAATAATCCGCCAATACATCACACAGTTCTAAACACTTGGGAAGTGTTCGACTAGTGATTTGTGATGCAAAACCCAGCATAGTTATCTTGTTTGCTGTGTACACTGTCATTTTTGTGAACAACAACAACAACAACAATAATAATAATAATGGAGAACAGCTTTAGTGGGGCCGGATGTTGTAAAACATGTCAGACACATAACATGCATTGCAAGTAGTCCTCAACTTAGGACCACAATTGAGCCCAAAGCCTGTTGTTAAATGAGACAATTGAGTTTTACGACCTTTGTTGCCACAATTATTAAGTGAATCACTGCAGTTGTTAACTTAGTCACACGGTCATTAAGTGAATCTGGCTTCCCTATGGACTTTGCTTGTCAGGTTACAAAAGGGAGACCACATGACCCCGGGACACTGCACCCGTCACAAATATGAGTCAGTGTCTGAATTTTGATCACAGGGATGCTGCAACATGTGAAAAACGGGCGTAAGTCATTTCAGTGCCGTTTTAACTTCAAACGGTCACTAAACATCATAAATCAAGGACTATCTGTGTAGCCTACTACACCTAACATTTTATTATTGTGGTTTATTGCACAGTTGTACAGATGTTTAGATTGGATTTGGCATTTTTAATCCACTTAATTAACAGTATTTAACTAACTTTATTGCCACTTTAAACATACACCGATCGGTATACATGAAAATGAAATTTCGTTGCATATAGCAGCTCTCAGAGTCACCACCTCCAATATACACTACATCAGGGGTGTCAAACTAGATTTCATTCAAGCCTGATGGACTTCAACTCCCAGAATTCCTCAGCCAGCAGTTCTGGGGGGTTGAAGTCTGGACCTGGCTGGGGAATACTGGGAGTTGAAGTCCAGACGTGGCTGGGGAATTCTGGGAGTTGAAGTCCGCCAGGCTTAAAGTTGCCAAGGTTGGAGACTCCCGTCCTAGGCAAGAGATCTGATTGCTGGCAGATTTCTGCCCTTGGAAACCAGATGTCCCCCCCTCTCTCCATAGAGAGGGTGGAAATCCTGGTTTGTTTGGGCATCCTGGCTTCTCCCTCCCTCCCTCTAGCCAACGCCCAGGACAAATCCACGCCCAGTTCCTTTGCTCCCTCTTTCCTCCTCCTCTTCTTAGCCGCCGCCTCCTATTCCTCTCCTGCGCTTCTCCCGCCCGGGACAGTCCTGGATCCAAGCCGAGGGGGCGACCCAGGGCCCGTCCCTTCGGGTCCCACCGCCCCTTCCTCCTCCTCCTCCTCCATCCCAGACTTTGGCATTTCCTCTGAGCTCATCCACTAAGTGACGCGCCGCGTTCCCCACTCGGAAGAGGAAGCGAGGGGAAAAAAAAAAAAGTTTTTGCAGAAGTTGGCTACTTCTGCAAGCGACGCGAGCAGCGGCGAGATAGCAAGCGGCGTCCGGCCCCAGGACGACGGAGGGGGACCGGGACTGACGAAGCCCCAGCCCCCGACGACGGGGACCCACAACGGTGAGTGGCCGCCCGTCGCTTCCTCCGAGCCGTTAAGCCCTGGGGACATCTCGCTTGGGCGCCCGCGGGCGCCCGGCCAACAAAAAGAAAGGTTGCAGAGTCCGGACACCGATACCCTCCCCCCAGCCCGTCTCACGGGAGGGCCGTCTGTCGGGGCCGAGGGAAGAGGAAGAGAGGGGGCTGTCCTGCCCCGTCGAAAGCTGCCGGACCCCCCCAAAAAGCCGCGGCGATGGGTTGAAACGCTGCCAGCCCGGAGCGAAGCAGCAACAGCAGCAGCGACGGCGGTGGCGGGTTTGCAAGCAACAGCAGCGCCGAGCTCGACGGGCGATGCATGAAGCCGGCCTTCCCCGAGGGACCTCCTCGCCTCCCCGCCGCCCCTGAAGGACCCCCCCCCCCGCCACATGGCCGTCTACAGGCTCAACGTGCGCGTCTTCTGGCCGCTCCTGACCTGCGCGTGCACCGTCCTGGTCTGCCTGTTGCAAGCGCTGCGCGGCAAGGCCGGCCCGACGGGCGGAGAAACGGGCTGGCCGCTGCCGTCGCTGCTGCGAGGGCTGCCGGTTCCTCCGCTGCTGCTGCTGTTGCTCTTGCTGGCCGCGCTGGGCTTGGGCGGGCGGGCTTGGTGGACGGCGCGGCAGCAGCAGCAGCAGCAGCAGCGACGGCGGCGGCTGAAAGGCGGCTCGATCGGCAGCCCCGGCGCTTCCAGCGGACGGGAAGCCCGGCGCCGCGCCTTGCTGGACGGCTTCTACGAGACGCGGCTGCGGCTCTCGCCCCACGTGCTGGGCCACAGCAAAGCCCACGTCAGCCTGGTGGTGGGCGAGCTGGTGCGCGCCGGCAAGGCGGCCGGCCGGCTGTCCCTGCGCGGGGATGTCGTCCAAGTGGGCAGCGCTTACGAGCAACACAAGGTGGGCAGCCCCGACGCCTTCGACGTGCTGGTGCCGCTGCGTCTGCCGCCCCGGCTGGAGCTGCGCGCCCTGCCTTGCGCTCCGGAGGAACAGCAACCCGGGGGGCGGCGGGGCGCTTTCCTCTGCGTTTTGCGCGTCGCCGAAGGCGCGCAAGGTTCCCCGAGCCGGCCTCTGTGCGTGGCTGCAAGCCAGGGCGAGGCGGACGGGGCGTCCCTGCTGTCGGCGGCGCTGGTGGCCCGCTGGTTCCAGGCGCAAGTGCAGCGCTGCCTTTGCGCCGTGCGCGCCCGCCTGCAAGAGCGTTGCCGGGTGCAATTGGCCGTAGGCGCTGCGCCCTGCCCGCTGGCTTTGCAGATCGCGCCCCGCTCGGATTACGTCTGTTGCCACCTCTCCCTGACCGTCCACCTCACCCCGGCCATCCCGCTGGGCGAGGGGCTCTACCTCACCCCCTGGGTTGGCCTCCAGCCTTCAACGGCCCCCCAACTGGGCACTTTCTGGACCCTCAACCTCTCCAAAGCCGAGCAGCGCTTGCTGGCCTGGCTGCGGGACCAACTCCTGCCCGACTCCTGCCACCTGAAATGTTTGCAGATCCTCAAGGGGCTGAGGGAGCTGGGGAGCCGTGCCCTGGAGCCCCCCTGGGCTGCCCAGTGGGACCGGGTCCTCTCCTCCTACGTCCTCAAGACGGCGCTTTTCTGGGTGCTCCTACGTATCCCGTGGCAAGCTTGGGAGGACCAGTTCTTGGTGGCCCGGCTGGAGGACGTGGTCCTTTTTCTGGTGCAGGCTCTGCAGCGAGGGAGGCTGGCCCACCTGTTTCTGGGGAACCCTCACCTGCCCGAAATCCTCAGCTTGCCCAAATTCGTCAAGGAAGCCTCTCCGGTGAACCTGCTGGCTGATTTTGAGCGTCCCACTTTGGAGAAAGTGGCCTCGCAGCTGCTGAGCGTCTGGAAGCAGGCACCCAGGATCATCCGGGTGTACGGTGGCCCCAGGTACCGAAAGCAGAACCTCACCTGAGGCTCTTCCTTTACCCCTCGCCAGCCTGGACTTTGCACCCCCCCCCAAAAAAAATGAAGGTTGAGTTGCCATATATTCCCCAAGACAAATTTTGGATTTGGGGCTTTAGGATGGGGAGCTCCATTCAAGGACATCTGAAGGACCTTGTCTAGGAGCAAGAAAGACTGTCTACATCGGACTTTTGGTCTTAAGAGTTGGAGCCATGAGTTCCAATCCTGCGTGGAACTCGGGTGCTGGATCAGTTTTGGGGTGTTCTTTTTACCAGCCGGTCGGACACTTCAGGGGTTTGCTGGAAGGGAGGGAAGGATGGAAAGAACATCTTGGGGTTCACCAAAGTTCTAAGAGGGCAGGATTGGTCCTCACCACTCATGACTGATTCTGGCTTCTTCCGCTCAGGGTTTCTGCCTTCGTCAACCAAGGCAGGCAAAAAAAAATGTCCAAGCCGCTTTTCGGTGGGTTCAAAAGGGCAGTTCTTGATAGGGAAAAGTTGAGAGTTTCTACTTGGGGAAATCTCAGGCTATGATGACTCATTCTCCTGGGTGGATGTTCTTTGGAGAACAATATTTCCCAGCCAAGTTAGGAATCTTGAGCAGGCATTAGTGCTTTGGCATTTTGCCCAGGGTCTGACGGACTGCGGCCCTGATATGGGTCTGCTTATTATGGGATGGAGTAGAAGAGAAGGAAACACAGCCTCGTTCAGTTTACAGGGAGTCCTCCACGTACAGCCATTCCGTTAGTGACTGTTTGAGGTAACGACAGTCCTGAACAAAGCAACTTTTCCACATTTACGACGGTGGCAGCATCCTCTGGGTGACCTGTTCAAAATTTGGATGCTTGGCCGTTGGTTCATATTTATGAAGGCCCCTTCTGACCAGCAAAGTCAGTGGGGGGAATTCAGATTCACTTAATAACCGTGTTATTAATTTAAGAACTGCAGTGATCCGCTTAACAACGGTGGCAAGAAAGCTTGTAAGATTGGGCAAAACTTACTTCGTAACTGTCTTGCTTAGCAACAGACAGCTGAGGCACAATTGTTGGTTGTAAGAGGGGACTTCCCTACAGGAATTATGGCCACAAGTTATGTTGGTCCTTAAGTAGATGACCGTGTCCAATGTTAGAACCTTTTTTTCCAGGGTTCTTTAAACAATCACGACAATTGTAAAGCTTAACCCATTGTCCATAAGTAAACTTAACATCATACATACATCATCATCACGTGACTGCAGGACATGCAAACAGTTGTAAATGCAGGCTGAATCCTGAGCGCCCAAAATTCAGTCGCATACAGCTGTCAGAATTTTAAATCCAGTTCATATGTACCTTTTGGGGGCTCCGTTATAACTTTGAATGGTTGCTAAGCAGTTGGTTGTAAGTCAAGAACTACTTGTGCTCCTTTGAGAGCAGTCATCTTAACAAATGTGAGTATACTAGTTCAGGATGATGGGAGCTCAGATTCGGCATACCAGGAGTGTGCCCAGTTGGTGGAAACTCCTTAAGGCAGGGGTATCCAACCTTGGAAACCTTAAGATTTGTGGACTTCAACTCCCAGAATTCCCCAGGGGAATTCTGGGAGCTGAAGTTCACAAGTCTTAAAGTTGCCAAGGTTGGAGACTCTTGTTCTAAGGGACTTAATACCAATGTGTATTTGGAGACCAAAATTAATAGCACTTTATTTTCATGAAAAGGGTTTTTTGTTTTATTTTTTGGCGTTGCCAAGGCTGTGTGAAATTTTCTGAAGCATTTGGACATTAATTAAAATAACTATAAAAGGAGACATTCAGCTTGCTAATCGGTTGCCTTCTTTTAAAAAGACAGATTCCAAACACGACTTCCTCATGCAATATTATATGTCAGTTGGAAAGCACTAATTATACCCTTAATGGGAGTCTTTGAATAAAAACTGACCTCCAGCCCGTCACTGAGGAGATTTGGACGGAGACTTCTGCCATTTGTTATTCTGGTGAATCCCTTGATATTTGGCCACATCGACACTTTTCCCAGATTTAAAACAAAAACAACAACAACCCAGGAAACGGGAGACTTAAATCCTTCCTATCGGTGGTGACAAATTGAACTTGCAAAGGATGTGAAATTTTTCAGTAGGTAAAAAATGTTTCTGGCAGTGCAAATTCCATTTAGTTCAGTCTGTGTGCCAAGAATCAGATCTGTAAAGACTATTGTATAAGGCCTTGTAGAGCAATCTGTAGACTGCAGATTGAGACATCCAAAATACATCTTTTTCACACACAAAAAATTATGTAATGCCACCACTTAGTTGCCAAATGTTGAAAATCATCTCTTTATTTCTCTTTCTCTCTCTCTTTCTCTCTCTCTCTTAAAAGAGTAAACCTCCTCCCCCCCTCTCTCTCTCTCACACACACACACACACAATTTCACAGGACCCAGCACACATTTTGAAAGGAAGTTTGAGTTCTACACTGCAGTCTGAAGTGTACCGTACAACATGATGACTTTCAAAATTGCCTTTATCTCAAGTGCCTCCTGCTAAGGTACGAAATATGGGGTGAGGGGGAATTCCAAAAAGAGAGAGAAATCTCCATTGGTAAGGGTTGCAGTTGGTTTCACCCAAGGAAGTGGAATCAGAAAGACAGGTGTGTACAGCGTTAAGACAGTTTGTGAGATCTCAAATGACTTAAGGTTGAGAATGTTGAAGGTGGTGTTGAAGTGGAAGTCCTAGGACCGGCTAGTTGGCTGGCATTTCTTGGTGGGGCAAGACAGTTGATGAAATGAGAAGTGGTTGTGGGTCCAAACATTTGCCAGAAGGTAGCAGGTGCTAAGAAGGGATTATTTTTCCCAAGTGTGGAATTTCTGAAGCTGGAACAACTACTGAACAAATCTAATGGGTTGTTGTTGTTTTTTCATCAACTACAAATCTTAACTTGCTTTGAAGTGTTTTTTTCTGACTTACGGGCCCTAACCTTTTTTGGGTTGGGTCCTCATTATTGAGATTATGGATAGTTATGCCAGGTAGATGTGTAGAATGCATGAACTCATGAAATACACACCCTCGGGTTGGTTGAACGGATGTGAAAGTTGGAAAAGAAACGCCTGGAACGTGACAGAGAGGTGAGGAAACAAGGTTGAAGAAACGGTTGAAGGAAGGAGAGCGAGAAGAACATGTGCAAAATCTACGTTGGAGGATAGTTTGTGAAATATTGGCTAAGAATTCAAGTAGTCCTCAATGTACAAACACAACTGAGCCCAAAATGTATGTTGTTTAAGCGACAAAATTGTGAAGGGAGTGTCGCCCCATTTTACAACTTCTCTTGCCACTAAGCTGTTCAATTAGTAACACGGTTCTTGAGTGAATCTGGTTTCTCCATCGACTTGGCTTGACAGAAGTTTGCAAAAGTTTATACGAGGTGCAATGACAATAAAGTAAACCAAACTAAACTAAAAGCGTGATTCTGGGACACTTCAGCCGTCATAAATGTGAATCAGTTGCCAAGCATCTGATTGTAAATCTCGTGACCTTGGGGAATGCTGCGACGGTTGTTAAGTGTGAAAAATGGTCCTCAAACAGTCACTAAACAAACCACTGTAGGTCGAAGGCTACCTGTAACGCATTTCTGGGTCATTGGTCCTGGGCTAAACCAGGGGTCTCTCAACTGTGGCAATTTTAAGATATGTTTAACCCGGCACCAAAAAAGGTTGTGAAAATTGGATCGGTCACATGACTGACCCATTTTACAACATACGACTAATAAGACAGGCACCATTAGAGTCGTATGTCGAGGACTAGCTGTATAGTCCAGATCAGGAAAACCGAGCTGGGTTTAATTCATGTTTTATCTACATCTGCATTCTTCTAACAGCCGTGGCCTGGTTTCTCCGAGATCATCTCCATGGCTGTTTCTCTATGTTGAGAATTTATTTTGTGTCTCTCCTGAGGGGCTTGTTATTATTATTATTTTTTGAGGTTGCAGTATTTTTCGAGTTGTTTTCTTGGTGGTGTTCTCCATTTGGCAAAGTTCCCTCACGATTATGTGCCTTTGGGGTGGAAACGGGTGTGTGGGAAGCCACACACCAACAACAACGGTGCAAGAAAAGTTGTGAAGGTGTGGGAGCTTCATCCCTGGAGAAGCTTTGAAGGAGAGAGAGGACTGCATCTGTCAGAAATGGCGTAGGGTCTCTGGTTTGGGCGGGGGTTGGACTAGATGACCTACAAAGGTCCCTTCCAACGGTTCTGAAAAACACCTTTGCACACATTTTGGGCTGCTGGTCACTAAATCACCGCAAGAACCTCACATCCCCTTTCGAAGAAAATTTGAAATTCTCCATCACCGGTTTGGAAAGGGGCAAAGCGTTGTGTTTTTCTGCCTGTGCGTGTGTAATTTTTGCACAGGTTTACTAAAAGTTTAAATCGTATAGGAAAAAACGCTTTTCCAGTGAGTATTTTAAAAGCACATTTTCACAGCATGCTTCATCCTTGGCAAGCAATACACCGATATATTTTCCCACTTTTCCCCCCCGTCTCTTTCTTTTCAACCATTCCTCCAGATTTAATTTAATCGGGATGAGTCACCCGTCAATCTCTGAGGAAATTCATCATCAAGGGTTATTACGGGTAGGTTTACCAAGCTTTGAGCTGATAGACTTATTTATTCAGCTATCCCAGGGTCTAATAAGGCACATTCCTCTTTAATTGCAAGAGCCATCCGAGGTAACACAAGATTTCAGACGCTGGAGCTGCTGCTTGCGGCTTTTCAAAGTGCCGTCTGATCTATACCGTGTGTTTCTGAAACACTGAAATATATACGAGGCTTCGCCTCACAGCCGCGAACCAACATAAAGTACAAATCGACCATCATCTTTTAAAGACCCCATAATCCCTTACAGGGTGGAGTCTAGGACAACTGAATATGGAGTTGAGTGTTTACTGGCCAGATGCCCTTCCTGTCACCAGTGCGGAGCTTTCCCCCCCCCAACAGATATATTCTCTTTGTGCCCAGAGAGATAAAAGTACATTTAGATGTCTGTATTTTATTGGGAGCAAATGCATCAAAGCAGGGAGGCTTCTGAACGAACGTGCATACAATTGCGTGGTTAAGATGGTTGGCAAACGCTGCAAAGGGTGATCGAGGATTTTTTTAAATTGAGGGACAGGTACTCCTCGACTTATGACCATAATTGAGGCCCAAATTTCTCCTTGCTCAGTGAGACATTCGTTGAGTGGTCATAAGTCACCTTTTTTTCAGTGCCGTTGTAATTTTCGGTCACTAAATGAACTGTTGTAAGTAGAGGACTACCCGTACAAGCTTTTCATGAAAAGCTGGTTCTCTAACCAGATTGCTTCCGTTTGCTAAATGATTAAGGTACGCAGCAGTAGTTTTGGTTGCCTGAATTTGAAGTACTGGATTCGTTTAGTGAGCATTCAAAGTTACAACGGCACTGAAAAAAGTCACTTATGACCGTTTTTCACACATACATGCAACTGTGGCAAGCAACCCTGGGTGTCAACTCATAAAATATTTCTATGGTCTTTGTAGAGTTGCCAACAGGAAGGGGGGAGCAGTGC